TTAGATATTGGAACACTGCTATCATGTCATCCTTAGCCCTTTTCATTAAATTAGACATACCCAATTCTTTCAATTAGGAGGAATATATGGGAAAAAATAGGCAGAAGCCATAGGAAAAATAGTCCCTCAAATAACAGAGCCTAAGACTTAAAAGGCTTTATATATGACAACCAGCATGTTGAATTGCACCTGGAAGGTGGAGAAGTTTTATATGGACATATAATCTGCTTGAACTGCCTTTTTCTGCACCAGTTAAAGTTTCCAAATGGACTTTAAGGGCAACCTCAAGTAGAGCGAATTGCCAGAATCCAGCTGAGAGGTGCAATTCAACATGCTGGTTGTCATATATAAAGCCTTTTAAGTCTTAGGCTCTGTTATTTGAGGGACTATTTTTCCTATGGCTTCTGCCTATTTTTCCCCTGAATAATTGCATGCATGAATAATTGTGAATAGGGCCCTCAGTGCAGAAATGAGTACAATTGGCGCACAAGTTGGATTTGTGTAAAGACCATCTTGGTCATAGCTGCACCCTGCTCCTTAAATAGGAACAGTGAATCCAAGAAGTTCCGCGAATTGTGTATCGGTTATATACAGAGGTATATTATTCCACTTAAAACTAACATTACAAAATTTCCAGCAAAAGAAGGTCCATGAACCCATTTGGTCTTAGCAGGTTTGAGCTTGAGTCTGTTGTTTACATCCAGAGCATCACAGATTCTAAGAAGTAGGACTAGATTTTGACAACATTACTTGGTTGAACGGGGGCTTAGACATAGAACCATCATCAGTTTACTTATTTTACTTAACCCCATACTGATGGATAACCTCACCAAGGGGTTTAATATCATTGCAGCACCCTTTCCCATAATCCCAAGGCACATAGTTGACCCAGAAGGACGACATGATTGAGAGATCAACCAGGAAAGATGCATCATCAAAGATCATCAACAAGTGCTGTTTCTGTACTATGTGATACCATGGGCATACACCATAAGTTGAATGAACTTTAATCTGAATTAATGTACAGATGTTACATTTGTATACATTGATTATGCCTGGAAGATGGAGATTTTTAAAGTTTTATTCTAGCCAGGTAGGAAGTTTGTTTATGGGTTTTACTAATATTAGCATTAAAATTTCAATGAAAGTTAGAATTAGATCCATTTTTCTTAATTGTCTGGAATGTGATATTTGCTTAATGCTCAATTCCAAAAGTCTTATACTCTCTATATCTAGAATTTAAAATAACAGAGTTTATTGGTTGTTCCTTTTAATCATTATTCAAATTTTCTGAAGTAGCTTTGGTGTGTTTTCAGGACCTGATAATTTGTTCATGGATGTCATTAACAGTTTTCTTCACAAAGTGCTTCTAGTGATCATCACTAGGCAATTTATCATTTTTCTTTTCTCTTTGGGTTATTTTAAAGGCATGTTGCTGCATGATTCTGTAACTAAAAGAGACTGAGATCTTTATTTGATGAGAAATATAGCATTATTAGATTCATGTGTATTTTTTCTAATCTCTTTCATATACATTCAAAGAATATCAAAGTATTTCTGAACTGCGTTAGTACTATTGTCCAATTAAGTATTGCTTTGACTTTTTCTTATTTTGTGATTATTTTAGCAGCTGCTGAAAAAAATAGGTACCATTTTTTGAGGAGATATTCAAACAGTGAATCTTCATTATAAACACTTTTTTATTGGTCTTAAATGGTTGGGAGTGCCAAATTCACGGCATCATTAGCTTTGTTAAAAAAAATAGTCTCAAGTGTGGAAGACAACAGAGTTAGAAAAGATGCTCAAGACAGTAGGAAGTAGCAGGAAAAGAGGTAAACAGTTTGGCATTGGATTGGCCAGTTACGTCGTACGTATATCCTGTGTTGGGCCATTTGTTAAACATTCAAAAGTAATTGTTTTACTATGTCTAGAAGATTATTGTCTATCTGATAAAGGCATGCTAAAGGTTTCTGACAAACCCATATTGGCTTCTGATTATAACTTTGCTTTTTTTTTTTTCCCCACTGCTTTTTTGCCCACCCATGGTCATTTGGTTTCTCTGTTTGGATGATGAAATATTGGTTCACTGACAAATGCACGCCGACAAAACCGCCGTGACAAAATGGCGCCGTTGAAACCACACCCACTAAAGCGCGTCAACAAATGAGCACGGACAAAAGTGCGCCATCGAAAACAATGCAAAAACAACGGTAACAACGGTAACAACCCTAACCCTAATCCTAACCTAAAAAACCTAATCACGCTTTAGTGGGGGCGCTTTCAACATCGCCGTTTTGTCGCGGTGGTTTTGTCGGTGCGCATTTGTCAGGCGCTCATTTGTCGGGTCACGGAAATATCTATGAAACAATGATCCCCCAGAACAAGGGTCATCTAATGTATACATAGCATTATACATTGAAGACGATAAAATTTCAAATTGGAGCTGTTTAACTTTGCAAGATAGTCATAAAACCATCTTGCAAACTAACCATTATCTTTACAAATAAATTAATTTAAAATTATGTTGCAATAACTATGTTGCTTTCATGCATAAACATATACATGCAATTGGGAACAGCTTCTGAAGCAGTTACTAAGTCTAAAAAGATTTTGTTGCTTTAAAGATTTTAACACCATGTTGTTGTATGTTGTATGAAGCTCATTTTGAAGGATTTTCACAACTCTGGTATACATCAAGATAAGTAATGGTGAGCTTTTAAAATCCTAATTATCTTTATTTTTTATTTAGGCTTTTGAGGCATGTGATGAAAACAACAAAGGATACTTAAACCGAGAAGACTATAAAGTTGCTATAGTGATGCTATTTGGCTATAAGCCCTCAAAGGTACCATTTATTTCTTATATTGAGGATTGTCTTATTGTTTCAATATCTTGAACACAAGGCATTAAATAATCTCTATTAATATGAAGTTTTCAAATAACATTTTTTCAGAATTATTTAAAAATATAAAACATTTGGTTCTTGCTATCTTTTTGAGATATTGCAGATTTCCATTGTTCACTTTCCCTTGTTCTAAGCTTGTTTTTCACTTTCCCTTGTTCTAAGCTTCTGCCTCCCAAAGCTAGAATTCAATAAGTGTACCTACTGTAACCCTTATTGTAAACTTTTTAGTAGAGGGAGAACACAAATTCTATATAGCACCACAAAGAATAAAAGAGACACTTCCCTTCCTCTCAAAGGTGGTAGAAGCAATCTGGTTTACAGATCAAAAGGACTACTGCTATATCAAAAGTACTTTTTTCAAAAGGTAATTGGACTGTTTTTTTTTCTTAACAAAAAAAGAAGATGACAACTGATGAAGCTTCTTGGATGAGAAGTGAAACGTCTTCTTTTTCCTTAAGAAAAAAACAGTCCAGGTGCCTTTTGAAAAGCACCTTTGAGACAACTATGACCTGATGACTTAAAATCTCCATAGACAAATTGCTTCTTAAAATGCCATTTAGCTTTAGTGCAATATCATCTGTGGTAAATTCAGTTTTGTTTGGCTTTTATTCCACTGCTGTCACTATAACTATACATGATTTTTCCATCTGTGTTAAATGAAAAGACAGTTATGCTGACAAATATGTTACAGTGTTGAGTGCAAATATCAGTTATCATGAGACAAATTGTGCTAAGAGAAGAATGTTCTTGCTTTGTGATTTGTATTCACTCCCGTATATAAATTTAAAAGACTGAACATCTGATGGTTTCAGCCAATGGGAACATGTGTTAGAATATTGTATAAGCTTTTGTCTTTTACTGGACTTAAAGTCCAATTTCAGGCTAGGTTATTTTCAATTACATTGATTAGACAAAAGTTGATTAAATTCTAATATTGGGATTCTCAACTGAATCCTGGTATTGTGTCATTCATGAGCCGAGGGCTGGTTTGGAGAACTATTGAGGTTGAAAGTGCAACTCATGGAAGGGGAAAAAAGCAGAAATCACTCCCAGATTCAAAAAATCAGTGGGAAGCACTGTGGTTTGGGACTAACTTAGCATGGATCAGAATTCTGAGGAGGTAATGCCAAAAGCTTTTGGTGTAACAGATCTTAGGAAATCAAACCTTGACTCAGTGTATTAGTATAAGCCACAGCGATAATTAATCAAATAAAATAAGAGTAGTAATTGGAGTTTTTCATTTTTATCAAATTTGTCGCTTCTGAGTTATTTATTTACTTAATTTATATAGTTGCCCATGCTGCCCAAGTCAGGTCAACATACACTATATTGCCAAAAGTATTAGCTCACCCATCCACATAATCAGACTCAGTTGTGAGCGAATACTTTTGGCAATATAGTATATATTGAACAATAATAACTCAGCAAAACAAAATCCCCGACAGAAATGTACGTAGGCATAAAGTGTTAGAAAATGTCATCCAACAGGTCCCCAGACCCAATTCTTGAGGGGAAAAAACAGTCTTTAGTATCTTTGGAAAGATCAGCAGGGTTGGGGCCCGACAGATCCAAAGTTGTTGTTCCAGAGGACAGGAACAGCAACAGAGAAAACATATTGCATAGGTCCTACCTAAGTAATGGAACCCAGAGGAAAAATGTATGCTATTGTATAGATGTAATAGCAAATAGTTGATTGCCAGCAAAAATTATAAGCTATGTTCAATGACATTTAGTAATGTTGCTAATAATTCAGTATTGTATGAGGGATTTGAACTACAGATTTTATCTGAATTAACTTAGTTTGGTTCTTACGTTATTTTTGGTTTAGCACAGTGATTCTCAACTGATAGTCCATAGATCCCTGGGTGGGGATATCGCCATAGGAAGTCTGAGAAGGCTTGAAGAAATGTTATGATTTAAATCTTGAGATAAGCCTTGGTGGTCCATGGCTATGGTCAACAGATATTTAAAGATGGTCTGTGATGAAGAAAAGGTTGAGAACCCCTGATTTATCATATTATGCTAATTCAAACATTAACACTGATTTTTTAAATTCACATTTAACAAATGCAGTTAAAAAAGCTTGGTTTAATATGTTATTGGCATTTATTTGGTCATAATTAGCTTGCTTACTTCATTTCAATGGGTGCATTGAACCTGGAAAGGTTTTTAACTTTTCATTTTAATTATAAAGTTATTATCAGATTACTTCTTGAGAAAAGCAATTTTAATTTTGATATTTGAAAAATTGATTCTCTTGAGAGTTTAATACAATGGCTTCTTAATCTACTCTTTACAATATGTTACTGGAGACATTGTTACTAGTGTTACTGCCCAGTTAAGTACTTTCAAATTTAGTTAATTTTGGTTTTATAAATTTATGTGTTTGACTTTTCAATTAAAATCTAAGGATGTTAAGGTTTTTAAATTTTGATCTTGCTCTTAATGTTGAGTTCTCATAATATGATAGTGGGGAAAACAAGAAGTGGATCAAAAATAAAGTGGAATAAAATATAATTAGATAATTATGTATTCTAATAATTCTGAAGAATTGGTTTTTGTTAATGATACTTTTTTTCTATTTTAGGTGGAAGTGGATTCAGTTATGGCCTCTGTGAAACAAAATCCATTTGGTATTATATAAGCATGAAAATCTATTATTATGCACTGACAATAAGAGCTTAATCAAAAACTAGAGAGTTTGAAACATTGATGTACCTATTTTGTTAAATAATGGAAAATGATTTTGGACATCAACTTGCAAGTATTAATTTTGCTTAGTTGTGATAGTTTACATTAAAAATATAGAAAGTGGGAAAATTGCATATAGGTACCCTAGTACAATTATTGCTTCAGACTCTGAGCCAAACCTAATATTGTTAAGCAACAGGAATTCCTGTCTTTATGCTCCCTCTATATTTCCCAGATCTGTTCAAGATTATTTCCTAGTGTCCTGGCTATACTGGGAAGGACGCCCTGAAATAGTGAAGGGTAAATCTGCTCCATCAGTGGTTCTTTTCTTTGGATTTCAATAAATTATTAAATTGATTTACAAATATCTGTACAGAAAATAAAGAAATAAGTAAGAAAATGGGTTAAAATTAAATAAATTACTGTAATCCTATTGACCGTTATCTAATTCCAATTTACGGCTGACTGTTAGTTGACTAGATTCTTGTGTATAGGCTTGAATAAATCTTCTATACTTCAACCTTAAAAATGCTCCTGATTATCTTTTGCTTGATAATGTGTTATTCTTTTGCTTGATAATGTGTTATTGTCTAATGATAGTAATTAGCACAAAAAACTCTTACTTATATATTTCTGCCGTATAATAAATTCATGAGATTAAAATATAGTTTAGCTAACAAATAATTTTTTTTTATATAAGAGTCCTTCTGAAATATTAGTTGCAATTCACTTTAGCATTGGTTACTTCATAATAGAAAAATAATTTGCTTAATATCCACATTAATATTGTAAAACCTGGAAACCAGAAATCTATTTGTAAATATGACATTTTTAAAATTAATTGTGGAAATAACATTGCTAACAGTTTAGTGAAACAATAATCATATGTAATAGTTCTAATTGGCTGAAATAATATAATAAGGAAATAAAACTACTGGTTTTGGTTCAAGATATTAAGGTGGATGGATGGATAACAGTTCAGTTCATATTTCTTGTGTGCTGCAAATGACTTCCTACTTTTACACTGATTTTATTAAAATTTTCCACTAACCCACATTTTATTCAGCGAAAGCTAATTTTAAATTTTATTTATTTTTTAATTAAATCCTCCTACGAACTTTCACGTTCAGATTATTATAGGATTTTTGGTCCCACCTTTCTTCTAACACGTTTATTTGTTGAAATAATAAATATTTACTTCTGTTGATACATGCCTAACCATAACCCTATTTTTTTAGGTTTATCACTTGAAGAATTTTTAAATCTTATGACTACAAAGAAGGTTTTACACTTGTACCATAGTGAAATAAGACGGTTATTCATGCCTTTTGACAGACAATGTAAGTTTTCCACAATGTGGAATAACTTTATTTGAATATCTGATTGATAAAATGTTTTGCTATTATATTTTAATTATATCCTTTTTTCTATGTAGCTTAGGGCAGCATAAAAACCTTTCTTTTCCTGTCATCAATATTATTGCAGGGCAATTATTTAAGGAAAAGGACTTGTTGGGTGGGATTTGAGGCACTTAAATCCATTCAAAGTTACAATGACATGACACAAGGGCAATATATGACAGGTCCTCATAGTTGCGGCAATCACAACACCCTCTTGGTCACCTGATTGTAATTTCGGCACTTGGATAAGTGGCTCACAATTATGACATCACAGCATACCACAGTCACAAGATCATCATTTGCAAACTTTACATGCCTTTTGACAGGTAAAGTCAATGGAACAACCAATAAGAGGTCGCAAATGGTGATCATATGACCACAGGATGCCGTGACCACGCATGATTTACCTAATGATCGCTATGGGAGTACCACAAGTATTGTTATGTTGGCATGGTCACATGCCATTGCATTTTACAACTACATTGCTTAGTCACAGAGTTTCCTGTCTCAATTACCACCATTAAGCAAGGACTAATTGTGGACAAATTGGACATAATTCTCCCCAGTCTGATTTTTCAAACTCTGTAGTTGCCTTTAGTTAATGAGCCAGATGCTTCAGAGTTTACCAAGGTTAGAAATAATATTATCCAATTAAAATGTAAAATCCTAAGGGCTGTGAGAGCACATTTTTTGATTAACAAATTTTATAAAAGGGCATAAGCTTACATTATTTTTCCAAAACATTATGAAGCTCTTCATTTCTTGTGGATCAACAATTGCAGTTTTCAGTCTTGGTTTATGAATGTACATCTAAGATCTTTCAACTGTATCCCCTTTTTTGTTTTATTTTTCAACAAGGTAAAGGATTTTTATCTTTTGAAGATTTCAAAAAAGCTTTCAGTATTGTTGCACCAAAGTTACCAGAAAGGATCATTGTTGAAGCATTCAGGTAGGATGAATTGAATTATTTGAGATGTTCTGGAAAATTGCATGGTCTGGTCGGGTCTGGCCTGTTGCAGGCATTGTATAGTACTTTCCTGCCAAATAATCAGTTCTTTGTATTCTGTCCCTGCTCTCTTCCCAACATGTACTAATTAATTGTACTTGTGTGTATGTACTTTGTCCTCCTCTCTTATTTTCTCTATTACCTTATTACAAATAGTTTCCAAAGAGATCAAGATGCTGGTGGGTGCAAGAAGTGGAGTGAAATTACTTTGGCAAAAGATAATGGGGGGGGGGGGCTTTGAGAATGCTCTGGAAGATGTCTGACAAGCTATTACTTCAGTAACTTCAAAATCCATGCAACACTTTTAATAATATTTCAGATGGTTCCTCCCTCCTGATAGATAACTTTCTTTCAGATTTTATTCCATCCTGATTTAAAAACACAAATAAGTTACGGATGTATCAGGTGGTATTCAGCAGGTTCTGATTCTGACTAGTTCTGGAGAACTGGTAGCAGAAATTTTGAGTAGTTTGGAGAACTGGTAGCAGAAATTTTGAGTAGTTTGGAGAACTGGTAGCAGAAATTTTGAGTAGTTTGGAGAACCAGTAAATACCACCTCTGACTGGTCCCACCCCGATCTATTCTCTACCTCCCGAGTTCCAGCTGATGAGGAGGAAATGGGGATTTTGCAGTACCCTTTCCCTGGAGTGGGGAGGGAATGGAGATTTTACAGTATCCTTCCCCTGCCACACCCACCAAGGCATGCCCACAGAACCTGTAGTAAAAAAATTTGAATCCTACCACTGGGGTCCATCTCTTTTTTGCCCTTACTATATAGGATGTGAAGTGGGAGGGATTCCTTTTTTTAAATTCATTCTTCAGAATTCAAATTAATTGGGCAGTTCCCCAGACTCACACAAAGCAGAGCTGGCTACTTAGAAGCTAATGGCTTAATTATAAAATTATTCAGTCGCCTTTCCACAACCTTACTATTTGAAATTCTCTGTTTCAGTTTTATGTGATATGCAACATGCTTTGTCAAATCACAGTGTTTCTTTAAACAACTTTCTGCAAACAATTATTTGTTTAATTTGATTCAAGAATAGCAGGGTTGTAGGTGATGTGTATAGGTAAACATAAGTTTTAATCTGTACATTGATCTTAACAGTGTATGTGGAACAGAAAAATGAACCTAAATTGACAATATATCCTCTGAACCATGTGGTGGTGCTAAATAGCTTTTTAAAGAGAATCAGTGAAAGAAATGTAATATCAGCTCTGGCACAGGCCCGAAAGTATTTCACAATGCAGTACTTATCTTAGATTTTTTTTCTTGGGTGTGATGCTGCTTTTTAAAATTAAATTCTTATTTTTTTCATATTAACAATGACATTAACAACAACTTAGTATAAAGGTAATAATATATATTGTGAGAAGTGAATCTTAGTTGCCATAGATCATCAAATCATTATAACAATGTCAGTTCACTTCAGATTTAGTCATTCAAGTCATTTAGTCTACCTCTTGATACAGGTTCTAAACACATATCAAAACTGTCACTATAATATGAAGCAAAAACCACAACACTGGAATGGTACAAAAATACCAGACTCTTTTACTTTCTTTAACTTACAGGAGTCCATAACATACTTTGTTGTTTCAGTACCTGCTTGCTGGCCTTAAATAGTCACAATGATTTTGCAAACAAAATTTGTGCAGGAATCTAGTGATCTGTTCATGCATTATTTGTTCCATCAGGAATAACTGAAATCATTGCAGCAGGTCTTACAAGTGTGGAAATTTTGCATTTGATTTTGCATCAAAATCTACAGGTTTCAATTTATATTTCTGTTCAAGTTTGTGTCATATACTCAATTTACTGTAAATAGAGTTATGAACTCAAATGTACTTTTGATCTGTGCCCATGGTTCTTGAGCTCTCTTGAGTACATGGAATTTCCTGGTTGGATCGCACCTCAACTGCTACATTGTCAAAATTGGAATTTATTTGTGTATCTTTCCAAGAAGTCATGATGTACTTTCCTGACCTCTGGTCAATGGAATAAGGGTAATTGCCACCACAACCATCAATGTTTCCAGTGGATAAGAAATAGGCTGCAAGAAGTTGTATCTCTCCCAAGTTATTTATAAGTAGTCCTTATTACTGACTGCTCATTCAGTGACCATTTGAAATTACAGTGGCACTGAAAAAAGCTGGTCCTCAAGTTTGGGGCCCTTGCAGTGTCTCTGAGGTCATGTGATCATGATTTGGGTGTTTGGCAGCCAGCATGTATGCACAATGCTCGCAACATGTTGTGCTCACATGATCACCATCTGTGACCTTCACAATCAGCAAACACAGTCAGTAGGGAAGCTGGCAGGAAGTTGTAAATCGTTGTCCTGTGACATTGTACTTAATAGCTGCAGTGATCTATTTAACAACCGTACTTGGAACTGATGCCTCAATTTAAGCAAGTCACTTGATGTCTCGCTTTACAACCATGTGATTTAGTAACAGAATTGCCTGTCCCAATTGCTACTGCCTTTCCTTTGGCTAGCTTACAATAAATGCCAAGATGGTGTATTAACAATTAAGCAGACTAAGCATGTGCTTAGGGTACCAGGCCCAAAGGGGGCACCACAAAGTTGAGAAAGAAAAAAAACAAGATTTGTACAGTATGTACAAAGGATGGAGGGCACCAAGATTTGTCAGTGCTTAGGGCACCAGTGAGCCTTAATCCACCACCGTTTGCCATAAGACATAAGTGGAGAGGATTACCAGCAATATATAAATATTTGATTTATTTATTTTAGTAATCATAAGTATCTTGATTCCTGTAAAAGGAACCAAGATTTTATTCCTAATAATATTTGCAAAATAAAGCCAAACATACAGTGCAAATGAGGAGTCATTAAGCTGCAGATAAACGAGCAGCTGGACTTCACACATTTTGTGTCCTTGTTCTCAGGCAGATATAATGGCACTGGCTTCTGCCCCTCTTCTGCTCAATGGGAGATACAGTATGTATATGCACCTTCTAAGTAGTGGTTCTCAACCTTTTCTTCACCACAGATCTCCTTTAAGTACCTTTTGAGGCCATGGACCATGGCTACGGACCACCAAGACTTAACTCAAGATTTAAATTATAACATTTCTTCAAGCCTCTGTGGAGCCTTTGTGAAGACATCACGGCTCCCCAGGAGTCCTCAGACTACAAGTTGAGAATCATAGTTCTAAAGTGCTTGTTTACAGTGCAACAAAAATATATACCTTGCAAACTAGAAAGACCTCTTTGTCCTGTACATCAAAGATTTTTTCTACTGTTATCACATCAAATTAGCTGGTCTAAGCAATTCCATCCTAAGTATAGCAGCAAGATATGCACACTTACCTGCAAATAGGAACACTCAATAGGAATTCGGATGGAGTAAGCATCCATAGTTTTATGCTTGATGAGCCTAGCACAAATGTCCTACATTCTTTTGTTCAGCTATTTCATCCTTCAGGTTATCTCTCTTGTTTTTTTTTTCTTTTTCTTTCCTAATTCAGCTTCCTTTTCATTACAACTCATTACAGTCTTTTCTGCACCTTCTTTTAATAAAAGATGGGATGTGTACATGTGTATGTATGTGTATTACATGCATACATACATATGTAAGGGGAAATAGTTTATATGTGAATATGCTTCTGAGCAATAAACATTTTTACATATAATACACAATTAATTTAAATATTGCCTGTAAATATTTTACAGAAAATTTAAATCTTTAAATTAACATTTTTTAATATTTTCCTGGTGTTTCCTTTTTTTCAGAGAGCTCTCTTTCAAGTGTGCTGGGTGATAGATTATGTATGAGTATATTTCTTGTAGATACAGTACTTATTCGGACAGTTGGGGGGAATCTCTAGAATTTATTTCAGCTGGAAGATGGCAATCCTAAATTGACTAAAATAGGAAAACTGAGCATTATATATATTTATATATATTTTCCTTTGAGAGCAGGCATCAGAATTTCATTTTTTGTGTGTCAGTGTGTTCACAGAAAAAAAGTGACAATAATGATTATTTTATTTTATCTTTTAAAAAAAGAAAACACACACAATATATACACACATTCTATCTTAACGTTCTTCTTTATTTAATCAGTTTTAAAATTCAGGCTCCTTGTTCTGTAAATAACATTTCCAGAAGCAGATTTTTGGAGATTGTATTACTACTCCTTTTTTTAATCCATTCAAATACACTTACGTTTTGGTATTCATGATGAGTAATGAACTTGTACTGATGATGTTACCTAGTTTGGGTAATGAAATATCTGCAAGAAAACAATCAATCTCAAATAGCACCAAGGACCCCTCATTAATGAATTTCTTTCTTTAAAAACTATGTATTTGGGTACTTTGTAACTCCCTAAGCTTCACTCCATTACAACTCCTATATATGCTGCATATGGCATGAAGCAAATGCAGACTCTTAGCTATGGCTGTTTTTGTGGGGATTTTTGATCAGGATATGCAAGATAATATTTGAACAGAAGCTATTTTGTTTCTCATTTTAAGTTCACTTATGCTTAGATGAATAGGATCAGACACTGGAGACACATTGTCTTTATCTGTTCCCATTCAAAATTACCTGAAATTATATAAAAATATGAAAATAATCAGATAGTGTGTGGATACCTTCAGTGAAGATCTTATGCTGTCTATGAAATTTTTATTTAGACATATACTGCAGAGTGAATATGAAACATTAATCTTCCTATGGCTAGTTGCCATGGGAACATGCTATACAGTGCAATGTCATTTCAGTTCTGGTGATTTCTGCAGTAGCTTTTCGGTGATGATCTTTCTTAAGCAATATTCACATAGCTTAATCTTTGCAAAATAATCTCTAAAGGCTTACATATTTTACCTATGTGCTGATTTATCCCGTATTGTTTTAAAGTATTTCATGATTCTTACATTTTATACTTATTCTGTAGAATTGAAGTGTATTTTACTAG